ATAGTGAGTAAAGAACAATATGTACGTTACTCACAGTGGGGTTTGAGCCTAGCATAGGCTCAGAGCGAAGCGCAGGCGTCTCGTTGTTGAGGTTGCCGGGTGTCCCGGGGCCAACGGAGGGCGCTCCTCCTCCGACCGGCGCTGGGACAAGCTGGTTGGCGACAAAGTTCAGGCTTTCAAAGAGGAAGGTCTGGAACGGCTCGAAGATAGGAAGAACCCACATCCCAATAGGTGGGAGCGTGGGAAACTCCAGCGAGCCGAAGTGAATCGAATCGCTTGAGCCCGTCATGACAAAGATGGTGGAAAGGTGGGCCATCCGATGACCAAAAGCGTGAACGTATGGCGTCCTCCCCATGGATGGCGCCAACTATCGGTGCGAAAAGTGACCAACATGTAAATATTTGTAGTTTTGCCATACGTTGTGATCGGATGTGGCCTAGCACTCAATGACACATGGTTTGTACTGGTTCAGGCAACGTGCCCTACGTCCAGTTTGAGTCAGTCAGTGACTTTATTCCTAAGCCTAGGTGCTCGAAGTTTGTTGTGGGGTTACAAACGAGAGGGAATAAGATGGGGGTGTCATAGGTCCGGTCAGAGTCTGGACCAAAGAGCCAAGAGTGACGGGAGCTCCAACGTGTGCTAAGTATTGGAACGTATGCTCTGTGTGGCTTTAGAGTTCTAGAGCCTAGTAGAGAGAGTCGGAGTGTTCCGTCGTCCGAATGAATCGTCGGAATCGGTCCTGGAATCGATCGTCTATGTTGTCTATCGTCCTCTGGGAGAGAGCGCATCCCCTTTTATAGATGAAGGGTATGGCTTTACAAGTGAGAGAAATAGAGTGTGTGTGTTACCTAGTCTTGTTGCCCACGCCGTCGGTACAAGACGGTTTATCGGCGCCCACAATACTGTTGACGCCCAGATGCATGTGGTAGGCTCCATCATGTTCTTCTGGTATGGCCAATGTCGGCGCCTACCATACTGTAGGACAAATGTCGGAGCCCACAACACTGTTCGTGTTCTGACATGTTTGGAAGGTTGCAAAGCACCCTTCTGACATGGCCTATCAGAACTGTCCTGTAGGTGTGCAGGGTACGGTTCTTGGTATTGCGGTTGACTTTAGCTCCTTGCTTTATCTGCTCCGCCTGATTCTTGGGTCTTTACCGAGCGGGCGTCCCCGTTCGGTACTTCCCAGTCGGCTCCGACCGCGCCAGTCGGAGAAGAGCCTTAAGCAGATGTTTGGTGTATTCTTGGTCGGAGAAGAGGATCGAAGTCGGAAGCGAGCGTCGTCCCCGCCTTGGCTAGGCCTTCTAGTCGGAGACTGGATCGCTCTTCTGACCTGTCGTTTAGGTATCTAGGTCGGCCCAGGAGTTGCGCGTCGTTTGCTGGGCCGAGCTTTTGCTGGGAAACAGGCCAATTAGGGACCCCGGGTTTATGAACCCGACACTAGATGTTATTATATATTTCTATAAACCTTTGACTAAGTCTTAAAAAAGGTGCCAACATTACAACACCAAACTAATGTCTTGAGAGTGCACTTATTGGTATTCTAGATGTCATTATTATATATTTCTATAAACTTGGTGGTATTCTAGATGTTATTATATATTTCTATAAACTTAGTCAAAGATAGATAAGTTTGACTTAAAACAAAGCTAAAGCCAAAGTAACTTTATAATTTGGTAGAGTGAGTAATAAATGTTTTTTAAGGGCAGTTTCAATGGTGCATTGATGTTGGTTTCTATCTTTATTAATTAACTTGTAAGTAAATTGCTGATGCGGCAGTAGAATTGTTACGGAGAGAGAAGGAAAAACATAGAAACCGTTTCCTGAGGTGGAAACGAAGTCGTCCCGCGCGTGCCGATGCACGAGGAAACGGCGTGATCCGCGTTGGGGAGAAATGGGTCGTTTCCTTCCTTCTTCGCTCGGATCTCCTGCTCCAAGCTGTGCCCTCGCTCCGGTCGCCGGGGGCTACCTGCTGCAGCAGCTTGGCCGCGTGGAGCTCCGGCCTGACTGTCGCCGCCGTGACCCGCGCTCTGACTGCGCAGGCGCCGCCGTGGAGCTCTGGCCGCGCCGCCCTCCCGATGGTGCCGCACGATGCTATGGAGCTCGCCGGCTCGCGGGTCCGCGCATGCTCACGCCATGGACGAGAGGCGGCCCAGCACATGGACGAGTCGCGGAGCTCACGCGGCTCGCCGCCGCAAGCGGATCTCGCGCGAGGCCACCCAGCGCCGTCCGCCTCGGCCTCCCGGCTGCTAGCGCTCGTCGTCCGCGCCCGCTCCACTGCCGCGGTGGTGCCGCGAACGCCGCGGAGTCAACCGTGGACACGCAGGAGGAAGGCCGTGCACCTTGGATGATGAGCAGCCAAACGATCCTTCCAGATGATGGATGAACTCGACCAGAGCTCGGCGTGGCGTGGCTAGTTGTTTCCGTGCTAGCTAGCAGGCAAACGTTCCACTGCTAGCTAGTTGTCTCCGTGCTAGCTAGTTGTCCCCGTCGGCTTCTGCTGCTTCGAGGCGCTCTGCCGCCAGCAGCTCCCCGGCGACGGCGTCTGGTGAGCCTTCCCTCTCCCGGAGCCACCGCTAGACATCGAGAGGGGCAGGTCGGACGAGAGAGAAAAGAAAGAAAAGCCAAATGCGCAGAGGATCCGAAGATGGGAGATTGAAACACAGCGAGTGATTGGGCTAATTTTTATCTAGACTTTAGTACAAATTGATGCAACGAAAAAGATAGTTTCTTAGTACGATATCTTATACTATATACTATAGAAACGGTCATGGTTATTTTTACTGGGACTGCCCTGAGTAACGTGATTGAACCATAAACTCATAGGTTGGCCACGTATGGTTAGGCTATTGCTATATTGCATGGTACTGTATCATGCACATTGAATGAGTGTCATATAGGATTTGGTTGGCCCCCATTATTGTGTAGAGTTAATAATGAGTGTCATATAGGATTTGGTTGGCCCCCATTATTGTGTAGAGTTAATAAAGAAAGAGACAAAAGTAAAGTTGTGTAGATTTAATAAAGAAAGAGACAAAAGTAAAGTTGTATTTGGTTTGGGCTTGATTTTCAAGAATTGAAAACCGTGTATAAGCTTTTAGCCCATTAGTAGGTATAATATGTAAGCTGAATGTTGAGCCGGAGGAAAGAGAAGAGAAGAGAGATGGGAAACTAGCTGTAAGCTTACAACTAGCTTATGCACAAGAGCCAACAAATTTTGTGAGAATAAAATATGTATGTATTAATAGTGAAGAGTTAACTACTATATGTATAGACTGATGGCGTCCCCAACAAGGCCTTTCTAGCTAGCTATTTGCCAACGTGGAGGCGTGAGAAGGTTCAAAAATCTGCTAGCTAGCGATGAGCTCGTCGCCTATCTCGCTCAGTTTCCAATGGATCTCATGTCTCTGCCTTGCATGACCCACTTCCCTCTGTACCATGCGGGTGGCAATTTTTTCTTTCTTTATTTGCACTTAGCTAGCGATTTCGTATTGATCATTGAGGATGCCCTCAGACATGGGCAGTAAAGACCCATACAACTATTAGCCTTGCTCTTATCAAGGTGTCCTTAACGACTGACAATATAGTCAACTACTAAAATGGGAAAGTCATCAACGCGGTGGAGAGAAAAACGGGAGAAGGAAGACTCACCATCAAAGAAATAACCTCTTTCACCGTCGGTTATTGATGACTAGCCTCATCACTGTCAGTTGCAAACCAGTGTTGAAAATAATAATCAACAATGGATCCTCATATGAACTGATGATGATTATTGAAAAAAACAAAAAACAAACAAACTGATGTCCACACTGGTAAGCCCTCCACATCCTCATGCCACCACCCGCCGCCGCTGCCAGATCTGAGAGAGGGGGTTAAGGGCATGAGAGAGAGAGAGAGAGAGAGAGAGAGAGAGAGAGAGAGAGATCTGAGGGAGAGGAGCGTACGGGGGCTCATCGCCGGGTCGCGCCGTTGGGAGGGCACCCGAGGAGCTTCCGTTGGGGGTATCGTAGAGGGAGTCACGGGGGAGAGGGAGTGAAGGAAAGAGGAAGAGAGTAAATGGAAACATAGGAACGTAGAGAGGGGAAGAGTCCATTGATGATCCGTGTGCTCCAAAGTGGCGAACCTAGCCAAGAACGTCGTCGGGGTCACTGGGTTCTGCTCACCATGTGATATAAATTTTCTTGAACTTTAATAGTGTTTTGCTAAAGGGTTTATAAATTTTATTAGGGTCGGTGGACCCCGATACCCCCCCCTAAATTCGCCCCTGGTGCTCCACGAGCATCCATTCACGTGGCCACATAGACCGGCCTCTCAGCCACCCCGAGGAAGCACAACATACAGAAGACAAGACATAAGGCAAGAATGGTGGGCGCACACGCAGATGTCGGATGCGGTGCACAATTTTCACCATCAGCTCCTCTCCCGAATGCTTTTCAACGCCATTTTGAAATAAGAATCGACAGTTTCACTGTTGGTTTTATTCAGAACCAGCAGTGATATATTATCACAAAAAGGTTTTAATAAAACCAATAATAAAAATAGTATTGGTGAAAATAGTTTCAGTAGTATCGTAAGATGACACATTTGGTGAGTTGTACTAGTACCATGCATATTTGTATTTATAAGCATAGCAGCTCTGGAAGGAGCTAGTGACCTGATACAATGTACTCTATTGAATTGTACAGGTAAGTCAGGGCTGTTTGCGTGTACCGTGTATAGTAATTGAATTTTACATGCAGTGTCTCCTTCGATGGCACAATTAATTCTGCGACCCCCGTGTCTGATCATGATTGAACTGTTCTTAGTTGCGTTAGAGCTGTCCATATACAGCATCTCCTTCCATATGTACAACTAGATCGCACGTGTAGTCTAGCCATGACTATATAAACGCAAGCTATACGAAAGAGTTGTGCTACTACTAGATACAATCAAACCTACAAGAAGAACAAGTCGATCGATAGCTGTGCTCGTCGGTCGTCGTCGTCGTCGTCGTCGTAGCGATGGGCAGGTGCGGCGGCATGGTGTTGTACCTGATGGCAATCTTCCTGCTCGTTGCGCTCTTCGCATCGTCTGCGAAGTGTAAGTATACATCTACGCCCTCCTCAAGCTGTTATTTCAGTTTGAAAAGTCGTCATGCCGTCTCTGGAACATGGTCGCAGATATTTCTGTCTTTTTTTAGAGGTTTTTGTCTTCATTGTGATTGCTTGGTTTCTCATGTTGAGAGCTAGATGTTTGTCGCAGGTCGTCCTGAGCCACTCGACGACACGGCGAGCAGCAGCAATGGCAAGGCCATGGCGCTCAACTCCACGGCAACGACGACGTCAGTCAATGGCAGCAGCGGTTCCGGCGACGAGAAGCTGGTGTGGTGCATCATGAGGAACTGTGTGTACGAAGGACGTGGCAACGCCCCCTGCTTCTGCTGCGCGGCCATGAAGCCGAACGCGTGCTACGAAACGAGGGACCAGTGCAACGGCAACTGCGTGTAGCCGCTGCCGACGCCGAGCGACGATGGGAGATCGATCGATCCATCAGCCGTCTGCCGTCGTCGTCGAACGACTAAACAAACAACTGCGTGTTTTTTTTGGTCTTGTCTTGATGAAGAACTGTGGTAATTGCATTGTTATATCTTCTCTGATGTACATGCAGTACCCTTGCGTTCAATCAAATAATATCATGTCGATGTTGCTTGGGAAAATCATCATGCACTAGTGTTTTGCTCGCTTGATGCATGCGCTGTCGTCTCCGGTGCCGCGTTTCCGCTGTCGTCAGGAGCCAAAACGAGTGGATAGTTGGACTCATTTGATATTCTAGGGCCCTGTTTCGATCTACCTCACTAAAGTTTAGCTAGCTAAAATTTTAAAGCTAAATTTTAGTCAACTAAGTTCTCCGAGTTAAACTTTAGCTGAGGTGTTTGAATCCTTCAGCTAATAGACTCAACTAAATTGGGTTTAGCTGGGTTGAAGTAGCTAAACCCAGCTAAACTTTAGCTAGTCTTTTAGCTGGACCGTTTGGATCTCTAGCAGGTAAATTTAGCTAGCTAAAGTTTAGTTGGTGGATCCAAACATCGCCACCTATATATGGTCTGTTTGGATCCACCCATTATATTCAGCCTGTTCGCTTGTTGGTTTCAACCAGGGCTTATCAGCTAGCCAACAGTGTTTTTCTCTCACAACAAACCAACACCAGTCGGACTTATCAGCCCAGAAACCAACCAACGAACAGGTCGATTATAGCTAGCTAAATTTAGCTGTTAGGGGTCTAAACGGCTCAGCTAAAAGACCAGCTAAAATTTAGCTAAGTTTAGTTGTTTCAACCTAGCTATTAGCTAAAGTTTAGCTGAGTCTATTAGCTGGAGAATGCAGTAGAACTTTTAGCCGGCTAAAGTTTAGCTTTGAAATTTTAGCTAGCTAAACTTTAGTTGAGTGAATCCAAACAAAGCCATAGATATCAATATACATACATTTCTATAAATTTGGTTAAAAATAGAATTTGGCTTGAAACAAAGCTAAACTTAAAATAGTTTATAATTTTATAATTTGGAATGGGCTGAGTAATAAATGCATCTTGAGTTACGTGGTTGAAACCATAACTCACTGCAAGGCTAATAAAATATTGCATGACCATCTCCAAGCCTATTTATATAATAGTTAGATTTGCTCAAAAAATATAATAGTCAGATCTTCACTGTAAATATAACTTTCTTCTCTCACAAGATTTATTGGAGGTTGTAAACTTACAACTCACCTTGGCTAGCTGTTTTCTCTGTTCTTGTCTTTTTTTTTCACCTTAGCATAAAGCTTACTTACAGCTTGTTACTATACTTACACTCATAGGCTGGTCACGTATGATGTCATGCACATTAGATGAGTTCTAAACTATATATGATTTCATTAGCCCTCATTGGTGTATAGAGTTAATTAATAAAGAGAAGAAATAAAGTTGTCTATCTCAATTTAGGCTTGATTTTCAAAGACTAGTAAACTATGTATAAACTTTTAGTCCGTTATCAAGGTGAGGACTGACAAGGACCTATACCGATCCTCATCATCACATAGCGTGACTTCACGAAAGGCTCAACCCCTACCCAACTCGGACATGTCGTTCAGGGGCCACGACTCAAGAGGCTACCACCCACTGTTCCTGGGTTTGATTTCGCGGCAGCGATCTAGTTGTTCGGCATGGATCAATATGTGAGTCTCCGGTGGCTTAAGCATTCAAAACATAAGAGATTTATCCTAGTTCGGACCTCTAAGCCCTACGTCCAGCAATAGTGTTTTGCGTGTTAGGAATGCTCAATCGTGGAGTTTACAATCGCGCGCACGAGAGAGAGAGAGAGAGAGAGAGAGAGAGAGAGAGAGAGAGAGAGAGAGTAGGGTAGCGCTATGCTTCTAATCTAGAATTCTAGTGTTTGGTTTCTGATCAGGTAGATCAGTTTACTGATCTCCTCTATAGGAGCCCATGCCCCACCTTATATATTGGAGGCGATGGGAGTACAAGTCGTATGGCTTTAGGGAATTTCTAGGGTTTCGAGTCCCACTTCTTCGATCCATCACGACGCCAAGCACCGTCCTTCATCTTCACTATACCACAACACCGCTTCACCGTCAGACATCTGACACTAAAAATTATATTTGGCAATGGATGATCTGACGCTAAAGATAACTCAGAGACCATCTGACGTTAAATCCTCATTTAGCGATTTGATGTCTATCGCTATAGATGTTCATGTTTAGCGTTAGCCCATCTGTCGCTAAAACCAGATATAGCGTTGATCTGTTTGACACTAAAAAAATGGGCCCCACGTCCAGCTCACGTGCCCTGTCTCCGTAAGCAGTTCGTGCGCAAATTTTTGCCTGGCCCACTGACAAACCCTAGACTCTTCCCATACAGTGCCCACGGCAAACGCACGCAGCTCAGGCCGCCTTATCCCATTGCTCGGCCATCGCTCCCCATCCACCCGCATCTATCTCTCCCTCACGACCTCCTCCCAGAAGACTGACGCTGGCGTCGGCGCCCCTGCTCCTCCGTTCCCAACGCGAGCTCTCCCTCCCTGCTCCCTAGACGGGCCACGGTGGCGCGGGTCAGGCATGGTGCACGAGCTCATAGCCGCCAACCATAACCCTAGCCGCCAGCCGATGGGGTGGCCGCCCTTCTTCTCCCCTGGCTAGATTGACGATGGGGTGGCCGCCCTTCTTCTCCCCCGACCGAATCTACTACGGGATGGCCGCCCTTCTTCTCCTCTAGCCAGATCCACGGCGAGTCGTCTGCCCTTCTCCTCCGGCCAGATCCATGATATGGCAGCCAGATCCACGACGCGGTGGCGGCGGCGACGGCTGGTTCATTGTTTCCTCTCTCTTTTTCCTCTCCTGCATGGTGGGCGGCGGATCCTGTGTTGTGGGTGGTGGATCTGGTGTTGTGGGGGCTCGGCATGGTGGTGGCTCCCCGAAATTTTGAACTGACCAGGGTAATGGATTAAGACCCACACGCTATGAAGGTCCTGAGGTTGATTAAGACAGTTTTTGTTTTATCTTACTACAATTTGGGGTCAAGTGGGTAATGGATTGATATAAGGGCAAGTCATGTGTGGGTCATCTTGAATAGTCTGTTCTTGGAGTCAAAGTAGCACAATTCTGGCAATATATTCCACATGTCTAAAATTAGTGTACAGTGGCCGAGGGAAATGCTATATAAGAATTTGTTTTTAAGGTGGCTGAGAGATGCATAATAACTATAAGATTCACATATATAAAATTTTGTTTTTAAGGAAAGTATGGTGTTGATTTTGTATGCTCCAATTGTGATTAAAGAATTCTGTAGCTAACTGGTATGCAAGTTGATGTGTTTGCTAATTATTTTATTGTTTTGTTCATTTCTATTCTGTTATGCATTTCATTCCCATGAACATTCCAATTTCCTCACAATATCTTAAGAGTGTTGTGTATCAACTGCCGAAACAAAAGGCCAACAATCAGGTCAACTGCTTCTAGCTTTCTAGAAACTTATTTGTTACTGACATATGTAATCCATCTGCTCTTTCCAGACTTTCCATGGCTTAGGGATGTGACTTTCCAGGAACTTATTTGTTACTGACCATTACCTGTAACTTTATATAACTAAAATGTTGTAATTCGATAAGTTTTACTTGGGATGGTCTGTAACTATTAATTCAAGGTGTTTCTTTTGCCTTTTTATCACAACCGGATTTTTGATCTATTATTTTTTCAACAAAATTGAAAATTGTTGTTTACAGTGAGTTTGGTTTGATGTGCTTGAATGATGACAGCTGTTGTCTGCAAGTGAGCATAAATAGTCGAACTTAGACATGGAACTGAATTCCAGTAATTGAGTGTTGTGTATACTTTGATGCTTTTACTTAAATATCAAAGCTTTTTTTCATTACTGATTTGCAGGAGGTGGTCACTAAACATGCTGACTTTCTTTATATTGTGCCTTGGTTTATTGTTGTCCAGGGTTTGGCTGTGACAGTACAGTAGTGATAAACATACTTACTCATCGCGATTCAGTGCAACGTGGACTCATTCAACAGGAATACAGGGCTATGTATCATGAGGAACTCTTTCATCGTCTTTCATCTGAACTCAGTGGAAACCACAAGGCATGAAAAGTTCTCGAATAATTGTTCTCTTTATTAAATAATCAAATCATTAGTCTAGCTGTACCAATATGCTTCATCAACTGTACCATATATTCACCGATGAAAACTGATGATTAGAATCAATTAGCTAAAAATGTGGATATGTGTTGCTTCAATCATGTGTTTACGTTTAATTTATCAAAATCGGTGTGTTAAATATGTTAACTTTGTTTCATGTGGCTCCGTAAAGCTATGTCGCTTGTGGATTCTTGATCCCGCTTTGGACGTGATGCAACTGCTTTTTGAGAGAAGCTCTAAGTGGTGAAACTATGGATCCGAGAGCAGCCCACCGAGATTATATGTTCCAGACACCATCACAAGTTGCAAATAATGAAACAGACTTATTATGCTAGATTCGGTACATATCTTGAGCATGACATTGGTCACCACACATCTGGCGATCACCGGAAGGTCCCGATCCTTAGTACTTAGAATATTTGCCTTACATTTGTTCTACTTCACCTTATACATGATGATACATGAAAGACAATTAAATTACTCATTTTATTCAACTTTTAGTATTACAACGACCAACCTTAGGAAGGTGAATATTTGGCTATAATTTCTTTGGAACAACTTCCATGTGCTGCTAAATGACTGCATAATCTGCCATTGTGAGTCTAATGTCTGAGATATTCTCACATCTAATGTCTGTGTTGTATAAGACTGATGGAATGGCCATTCTTCATTGACATATTGCAATTACTGATGTGAAGTTGATTCAATTGCTTTTCTGTAGTCATTTATGCTTTTACCTAATGCACAAAGGGATCTGAAGCATGAACTTCATGTGCTGTATGCCAATCAGTACTTTTTATAAGTTAGTAGTTAATATCTGTTCAAATTTAAATTGCACTTTTTTTTGCCAGAAGCAATTAACGATATAATGTATATTTCAGCTTTTACTTGTCTATGTGGGGATTCCACGCTATGAAGGTCCTGAGGTTGATCCTACCATTGTGACACATGATGCAAAGGATTTGTACAAAGCTGGTGAGAAAAGGCTGGGCACAGATGAGAAGACCTTTATCCGTGTTTTCACTGAACGCAGTTGGGCACACTTGGCATCTGTTTCTTCTGCTTACCATCATATGTATGACCGGAAATTAGACAAGGTAACACTTCTATTCAGTACACTTCTGGAATAAGCATTTTTTTTATTCTCTGGATTTTTTCACAGTGTCCTTTATATATGATAGGTTATCAAGAGCGAAACATCTGGAAACTTTGAATTTGCACTTTTGACTATCCTAGATGCGCGGAAACCCCAGCAAAGTATTTTGCTAAGGTACTGCACCCATGCTGTTTTCAGTAAAGAAATATTGTAGCTTTTAAAGCTCTGTGCAGGCACCATAGGTACATAAAATCACTGATTGATTTAAAGTCAAGTTATGTTTTGCTGATAGATTTAGCCGCAGCCAACAGCTGTTCTTTTTTCTTATGAAATTTTAATTTAACATTTAGTGAAGCAAAGATCACTTGTTGATACGATACTGATATAAAATTTGCTGTACCATCTAGAGTTGATCTTTGTATATTTTATTTGTTATTTTAATTATATGTAAACTTGCTACCATTCCAAAGTATTATTTTCTGCTAATGCTGCAAAATGAGCATGTTGTGGATCGCTCTTGTATCTTATGTGCCCATGATTGCTCTTGTATCTTCGGTGCCCATGACTCCCCTCCTAGACTGTCCTAGCTGCCTTTTTCATTTGGCTTACCCTAGTATCTTAAATATGGGAATGCCTTTTTCACCAGGACGATGTGAAAGATCAGTTCTGGATGGTTGACACTTGACAACGAAGTGGGTCCATGTCTTGCAACCTACAAGGTCGATGCAGAGGTAATCTTATCTGACGCCTGACCATCTTTGGTATTATACCTATACTTATGAATCCTGAGACTAAATGTTCTGCATTCCTTCCGTTCAAAATCTATTACTGTTTCTGCTCCTGTGATTGGTTGTTTGCTGCTCTTGAATAGTATACAATTTATTACTTTTTGTGAACGTTTAGAATATTAACATATTGTCATGACCCTTGCACTTGTGCAGAACCCTGGTCCCTGGTCAGTTTAAAGTGTATTCTGGTGGACTTGCATGGAAGAGACAAGGTGGAGGAAAGACCATTGAGATTGACAAAGCTGATGTAACCGCAATTACTTGGATGAAAGTCCCCAGAGCATATCAGCTTGGAGTTAGGATTAAGGATGGCCTGTTCTACAGATTTATTGGCTTCCGTGAACAGGTCCCCCCCCCCACTCTCCGCCCGTGCCTTTAATATTATGTAGTTTATTAATGGTGTTGGTATTGGAAATAAAGAGGCTGTTACATCTGGAGAATTGTGTATTTAGAACACTTGAATCTGGATGCATTTCTCAGTAAAATTAGGATATATTTGTTGATGCAAAACTTATACAGTTAAAAGTAGCACAAGCTTTGTCTAGTTTTCTTAGAATTTTGGAAATCCACTTTGCTGACCAGATTTTCTATCTTAATATGGCATATGATTATAATGAATATCGCTTTAATATGAATTAGATCATGAAAAAGGAGAATGCTTAGTTTGCCCAAGTTACTCTGCTGTGAAACTGAATAGTTTCTGCCTTGCTATATGTGACATCTTATTTTGGTATATGTTTTTCATCTGTTGATTAAACCTTGAGCAGTTGGATCTTTATATCCACTAAAGCAAACTCTTCTTGTTCAAATTAAGGTGAACAGTTACTATATTCTATCATGCCACTTGGTATGCCTGTCCTAAACAAGACTTGCAGAATATGGTATCTTTTGTACATACTGTAACTGAAACAACCCGATTTCCACGAAGGAAAATCACAGAGTCGAAGTGTAATAAGACCGTTGTAGATCATATTACCCAAATTCCAGTCGAATATCACATCCATACAACGTAATATCAGAGTACAAATAGTGCGGAATTACATAAATTATTACATCGCCGCATTGGCGGAATCAAAAGTAGCATTCATTCAGAACAGCTTGAAGATAAGATCGCCAAACTCGAGCGTAGGAACGAACCCCTCAACCGTCAAACTCCTCAAAGCTATACTCCTCAGCAGAACCTGTGTGCCAAAATTTATCAGTACGATTTGTACTGGCCACTCCCACCCTATGAGCATTGCTTTGTGGAAATTGGATGCAAGTTAGATATATTCAAAAGGAACCTAGAAGGCTGGGGTTTCCTATGTATTAGCATATCAAGTATATAATAATAGTTGGTCAAGTTTTAACACCATTCCCACACCCATTCCACTCCATTCCCGTCCAGAGCCAGGTTTCGATCCAGGGGTCGATATACCACCATCTCCACATCATCACCACATCACCACCATACCATCGCTCAGTCGACAAGCCAACTCCCTCTCGGCACTGTCTCATGGCCCGTAGCCCCTGGCTACGTCCGAACACTCACTCTAGGGGGGAGAAGAGAATGACTCATCTCACTATCTAGTTTAAGCGAAACCCAGGAAAGGTCCATAGCCGACAAGTCGGCATATGTATCGATCGATCAACCATACACTCTGCAGAGGTTTTACATAACCACAAGATCCGCCTTCCTCGCTGACCATCGTCAACTGGGCTGATTCCGGCCGCTTGCTAGCCTAGGATAATGCCACTCTACCATTCAGCCCTGATACACCCTAAGTCTAGTCTGGGGTGGCTGAAACTGTGAGTCATGAGCCGGGTCCACAAGGTCTCCATGAAGTCTCAGAAGGGTGTGGGGGAATCCTCCGCGCCCCGTACCTCCTTCGCATTGTCCGCTATCAACCTAGCAGTAGTGGCAATATCCTACCCAGTAGTCCGGCCGTCCCGCACCATATAGGGCGAGTGGTACGTAAGGCTTCCCGGTGAATCTAAGTACTAGTAAGTCCTTAGGGATGACCAAGCCAGAATGTCTTCATCAGGGTTTCCATTTACCGTGCCACTACAGCACCTCCACCCTGGGCTCCTCCCATCACAGGTTCACACCCAGGGCCACCTTATATACCATTTACCCACCATAGGTATCCATTTCAGGGGTGCCCAGGTAGCACCGCACGGCAAGATTTGCCCTAGGATCGTCGTATACTCCAACTTGGTTGACACAACCCTCACCCTCCACGCACCCAAGTCACACATATAGCACTCTCCCCATAGTCCAGATAACACCACGCATCAATGTAGTACAAGCGTAGTAGAAGTAATAAGCAATGAAATGTAGCAGCAAGCATGTGTCTAGCCTAATGGTAGGGTAAGCAGGGGTAAGGTTGCATCAAGGTAAAGGCCATCAAATAAGCATACTACCATGCAAGTCCTATCATAGTGTGAATATAACAATAAAATAAAGCAATAACAGTTATATATTAGCCATGCGTAATAAGTGCTATGAGGTTGGATGGGATGTGGCACCTTCAGTGAAGTCGTCTCCGTACTCCTCACAGTACTCTTGGTCCTCGTCCATCTGGTTCTCCTTCGAGTCTACATACGATCGAATTATAGTCGCGTTAGCGACGTCTATAGAATAGCACAAAGAAGCAATGAAAATTCAAAAAGAGCCAAATGCACTCAAACATGGGTTCATTGTGTAGACCTCGATTTTAGATGAATTTAGGTCCTGGTTTTGTATTTTTCTGATGTCGTATGAATTAGTTATGAATTTCCAAAGATTAAATCCATTTCTGAAAATAATGAAGGCTGATTTAATATCGTGCTGACACGTGTCACGCTGTGACTGGTTCACGTGGCATGTAGGGACTTGGAGTGGTGTATTAGCTGGTGAGGTGGTCGGAGAGGTCGCCGAGGTGGTCGGAGAGATCACCGAGGTGGTCGGAAAGGTTGCCGAGGTGGTCGGTGAGATCGCCGAGGTGGTCGGAGAGGTTGCCGAGGTGGTCGGTGAGATCGCTGAGGTGGTCGGAGTGGTCGCCGAGGTGGTCGGAGAGATCACCGAAGTCCCCGACGCTGGCGTGGTCACATCATCGGCATGACGTCAGCATGGCGTCATCAGGGCTAAACCACGACTGACAGGTGGGGTCCCGCTGACGTCAGCATGACATCATCATCTCGGTTGGTCACTGAAAGGTGGGTCCGGGGTCAAACGGTGACTGACAGGTGAGGCGCGGTTCATGGTGAACCCGCCTGCATTGGTCTATAGACCGCAGAGCATGTCTATGAAGGACTTGGTCCACTTACTCCTTCCCAGGGTTCGGTTCACATGCACCAAGTGCACGGACGTGTGGCCGACGAGGGGAAAATCCCTATCTCCTTCTTTGGGCAAGCCCTCCAGTGGCGCGGGTGTGCAATTAAGGTGGGCAAAAGCTTGGCCTTGCCATGGCGGGTGCCTCAGTGAAGTTAACGTGGTGGCCGGGCGGCTCCAGTTGGCTGGCCATGGTGGCGGCGGTCCTCGTACACCGGCGAGCGGTGGTGTGGTGGCTGTGGCGGTGGTACCGGAGATTGGTGGTGCGCACAAGCTCCCCGATGCTGCTACGGCCATGGCGAGCAGGTCGAAGGGGCTCCGGGAGCTCTCAACGCCTCCGGCCACGGTGGTCGGGGCAAAGCGGAGGCGGTGGTGCTCCGACGAGGTGCGGTGCGGCAACGCAGGGCTCCGGTGGGCTTCATCCTCGGCTAAGGTGAGCGCGGTGTGTCTTTCGTCATGGTGGAGCCAGTTGGGGTGTCAACGTCGCCTTTACCGCAATGTAGAAGACGCGGTGGTCTCGCCATGGTTGTGCTCTGGCCATGGTGAGCGCGTGCGTGCGTGCGATGTGTATGCATGGCATGAGCAGAGCGTTCGGCGCTGGCGTTCCCAAGCAGAGGGCTCGGCGTCGCCACCTTTCTTCCCTTTGCTTCGTGTTTCTGTTTGGCTCAACAAGAGGGTCATGGTGGTCCTTCTATGCTACCGGTTGGCTAAGCCAGAGCAAGAGCTCGTGCTCCGACATGGTCCGTTCATGGCGTCCGAGAGGCTAGGAGTGGTCGTGCCGGTGTTCCCGAGCCGCTAGGGGTCGGTGAGGCCAGGCCTTGGGCTTGTGCGCATGCGGTGCGTGTGTAGCGTGTCTAGGAGCGGGAATGCTCCGCCTCTGCATCCCCTAGGTGCGGGAACGCGGTGGCGTTCATGGCGAGTACGGCTAGCGCGGTGAGCGGCGAACGACGTGGCTCACCGTAGGGCTCGTGGCGGTAGGATGGCGGTGCGATGGCGAGGCGAGGCCGTGATGAGGCGATGCAGTGCCATGCCGAGCAGCTACGTCGCTGTAGCCGATCGGGGCGGCGTTCCTAGCTCTAGCGAGGTCCGGTTCCGCAGCGGCTTCCTTCTCCTCCTTGCTTCTTCCTCCTCCCTCTCTCTCGGCTTGACGCGGTGTGGTGCTGTGCCACCAGTGGCGGCGGCGAACGGGCTGAGGGTTAGGGCTCGTGGGCGTTGGCTTTTATAGCCGAGCACCAAGGGCTCCAATGGCGGACGGCGATCGGGCGGTGGTGATGCGTGCGGCGCATCCAACGGCCCGCATGCGGTAGCGTAGGCGCGGCGCACGGGGAAACAGGGTCATGCATCTTGCGTGACCCCCTGGCCCACACCTGCCACGCTGGTCGGCCCCCGGTCGAGGAAGAGGTCAGCGTGGGGAGGAAGATGATCCTGTTGCTGCGGTGGCTGTTGCGTGGTGTCCAGTTTGTCAGCTTGCCCTGATGCGGCGACGCGGCGGTGCATGACGGCTGACGGGCGGGTCCAGCTTGTCAACGGCTGTGCGCGTGCGGGCGGCGACGCTGGGCGGCTTCATGGGCTGCGTGCGCGAGTGGGAGGGCAGGTGGGTGTGAGTTGGGCCGAACAGGCTGGCTCGGAAGGCCGAGTAGGCCTGGGCTACTGCTGCTCCCTCTTCTTTCCTTTCTCTTTTATTTCTTTTGCTTCGATTCAAATTTAGTTAGAGTTTAAACTTGAGCTTCGAGTTATGTAGTGGGTCCCACAAGGTGTTTCAAATGGTGGTCAAAATACATCCCATATATTAGGGTTTATCATAAATATTAAGTAAGTTATTAATCATCACATAAGGCAAAAGAATCCAAATCACAAGTGGAATTAAGGATGCATGCATGATTTATTTATTTAGGAATTTAATTACACATGTGGCATAAAACCAAATTATGCTTATGAGTTTAACCTAGTTGGGTCACATCTAATCCAAAACTAGGGTTTGGCTTCTACATGTGTCACTCACCATCACATAGGGTTTAAACAAAAAATTTTGTAGTTGTGATTTTTTTTTTTGGTGTGTGGATTTTTGGGTTGTTACATTCCTACCC